TCCTCTATCTGATCTTCCTCTTCATACCCCCAAACATCAGTATTTTACAATTCTGTTTATTTCCCACAGGATCTCCCTTGGCGATGTCATCCCCTTCCCCATCTTCAATCTGATTTTCAGTTGTATAAAATCTTGCTTAGTTCACATTTCTAACCGCCCGTGCTCTTTCTCGATTTTTACCCTTTAATCCATTCTACACAGTACTGTCAGACAATGTCCTGAAGTACACTTCTGGACTGATCCGTACTGATTACTAACTGCAACCCTAACTACTGAGTCTTGTATTTGAAATTCTCCAAACCTGGCCCCAACCTAACCCTTAGCCTAGGTTCCCATCAATGAAGATGCTGGGCTAATTTGGACCAAGCCCTGAACTTGCCACTGCTGTGCTCTCCTTCCCACATGGTAAACACTGCGCTTCTTTAAAACAACGTTTTAGTCAATCTTCAGGGCTTAGCTTGAATAGCGCATTCTATGAGAAAATTATTCTGACCTCCTGCCTCACCCTCCCCCGCCCTTGCACTCCACCGCAGGATCTGTCCTCTGCCTTGCACCCTCGCGTCGCCTTTCCTGGGCAGGACCCCTACCCCCACTTTCCTCCCCCATAGCTTCTTGGGCTGCATTGCAGACAACGTGTTTGTAGGTTGTGAATGTGCCCTTGTCCTCTTTTCCCCCCAAATTTGAGAACTTAGGTTCTGTTTTTATCTTCTTGATGCTATCTATACCAAGCTCTAGCACTCTCTCTTTTTTAAACGTTTTTATTCATTTTTTACAGAGGAAGGAAGGGAGACTGATCGAAACATCTATGTGGGGGACACACACCGAGCTGCATCCTGCACGCCCCCACTGGGAATCAAACCGGACCTCTGTCCATGGGACCACGCTCAGTACACTGAGCCACACCGGCTGGGCTCTTTCTCTCTTTGAAATACGTTTCCTCTTTCCGTTGGCCGTCAACTGTTTTAATTAGCACTGTCCCACCAGGTCCCACCCAAAGACTCGTTTCTTCCCAAACCCGCTCGCCTCTTCCAGATCCCTACCGCGCACCCACCGTGCGCCGGCTACAGAGCTGCAGTCCTCCGGGCTTCCTAGAGGGGCGCGCAGCCCACTTCGGGCTCAAGCAGCCCAAGCCCGTCTTGCTGCCCCTCTGGGGTTGGGTCCCTGCAAACGGCGGAGCGAAGGCTGAGTGAGGCTGCACGGCAGCGCGACCCTAGGTGCTCTCCAAGCCGCCAGTGTCTGTGTCACCCTCCCCGCCGCCGGGCCTCGGCTGCCTCAGCCTGCCTCTGTCACGCGCAGAGCCCACAGCTGCACCAGGTGGCGGCCTTTCCTCGACGCCACTACCCGCCAGCCCACTGTCGGTCGGTCCGTCCTTCTTGCACTTGCTGGTTTGTCCGCTCATCCACCCGCCCTTGCGTCCACTGATACCCCAGGCACTCACCGGGCGCCTTCTGGGTGCCAGGCCCCAGGCGAAGGGATCGGAGATGCACCGTGGAATCTTCTCACGCAGCCTAAGCGCGTGCCTGAGTGAGGTCTCAGCTCTCCGCCTTGACTTCCCGTCTAGCTTGGATGATTTATCACTCTCGGGGCACTTTGTACTTCCCCCTTTGTAATTCTTATCACTATTAGGTTAGGTCATTATGTGTGCTTTCTCTTTAAGGAGCCCCGATCCTCACTATTTTTAAAGTCTGCCGTGGCAGGGCCACTGTCTTATTTACAACTCTTTGCTCAGAGTCCAGCACCGTGCCTGCACAAAGTGGGCACTCATAACATTGTTTGTTTGTTTTTGGTACGTGCCCCTAGCGGAACCGAACCCGGGACTCTCTGGTCCACAGGACCACGCTTTAACCGCTGAGCCAAACCGGCCAGGGCGGCACTCATAACGTTGTTAAGTGTGTGACAAACAGGCTTAAAACAGGTAGACAGCCCTGACCGGTTTGGCTCAGGGTTCTCAACCCGTGGGTCGCGACCCCTTTGGGGGTCGAACTACCCTTTCACAGGGGTGGCCTAAGACGTAACAGCAACATTATAGTTATGAAATAGCAACAAAAATAATTTTATGGTTGGGGGGGTCACCACAACATGAGGAACTGTATTTAAGGGTCCGGCATTAGGAAGGTTGAGAACCACTGGGAGGGTCGCCCAAGGACCAGAGAGTCCTGGGTTTGGTTCCCGCAAAGGGCATGTACCTGGGTTGCAGTTTGTCCCAGGCCGGTTAGGGTCGTGTAGGTAGCAACCAGTTGATGTTTCTCTCTTTCTCTTCCTCCCTCTCTCCCTCCTGCTCTGTCTGAAGATAAATGCAGAAATGTCCTAGGGTAAGGATAATAAAATAAATAAATAAAAGTTATTAAAAAAAAACAAAAACAGGCAGACAGTGCTTGACTCTAATATAAAAGCTAAATTCGTGTTTTTGTTATGATTAAATAAGCAAACAATGCAGATAACCTTATGATAGCATCTGTGTTGCAGCAAGCAGTATTGCTCAAAAGTGCCCTGGAGGTACTCTCTGGGTTGCTACCTGGGACCAGGAAGGGCTGTATCCAAGCTCAGTGCCTCCCAGCCCCTCAAGTGTTAAGCAGCTGGGTTCCCTAGACAACTCCATAAAAAACTGACACTTAAATCCAGACTTCTGGTCCGATGCTGTCCACTTATGCTCCCACTGATAAGCCTGGCAAATTTAGGACTAATCCATGGAACTCTAATGTAGAAGAGGGTGGACCAGTGAAGAAGGAACACAAAACTTCCTTTCAGCCACACACACTATGGGGGACAAGTTGATGAGGCATAATATTTATAATAAAAATAGAATAATATCACAAACCTATTGAAATTAAAAGGCAAGATACATGACATAGACCAGTGATGGCTAAGTAAAAGGTACATATCAATGTGATGCAATTCTTGGTAAATGCTACATGCACATTGATACACAGATCTGATGGTGCCTTGTCATGGGATTTCTTAAATGTCAGTTGTCACATAATAACTAAAGACATGTATTAGGTATTTTTCTTATACTAAAAATTTAAGAAGAAAATTGCTGGAAGTTTCTCTGTGTTTAGGTAAGTGTGTATGGAGCATCTCTTAAATCTGGCAAAGTACAGTTTAGGAAATGCTGTTTAGTAGGCATCTCATACCTAACTTTCTTCATTGGCTCAGTAAATACCATGATCCTTTCAGCACCAGAGCCAGCCAGAAACCCGGAGTCCTTGATTTCTCTCTCTTCCAAATCCTTATCTGATGTGTTCCTAAGTCTGGTCAAACCTCCCACCTTTATATCTGCTGGCTCACATAGCTCAGGCCCTCATTGCCCAAATGGTTGCAAGAGAATCCTTCCTGTCTCTATACTCCACACCACTCTGGGTAGGTAGACTGACCCTCCAGACATCCTCGTGGCCTTGGGGATCAAATGCAAACTCTGTACTAGAACATCTCAGACCCTTGGTGGCCTGGCTTTTCCTCTATAGGTGCGTCCTCTCACTATTTCTTAACTCTGTCCTCAGCTGTAGCACAGGATTGTTTTTTAAAACTTGGCTGTTCAACATAAGCATTTGTGGCACTTAACTGAAGCTTCACCCATGGAGATTAAGTCTGTTGTGGGGTCCATGCTCGGTGGATGATTTTGAGCCATAGCCAGGGGTAACAAGCACTAGTCTGGCCTTCCTAAACTACCTGCAGTTTTCTCAGAGGGCCACATCCTTTTATACCCACTCTTCTCTTTTTCTGAATGACCTTTTTCTGTATCTTCACCTGGATCACTCATATCAGACTCTGCTGGGATGCCTTCCCCAGGTAGGCAACTCTCTCTGGTCTTAGTTGTCTGCTCCTGTGCTACCTTATTTGCTTCTCTCCATCCTTGATTGATCACACGGTGTTTGTCTACTTACCTGACAATTTCTCATACTAAATAAACTAGGAGTCCTTGAGGACGGACCTTTCAATCCTGAGAGTCCTGTTCAATACGCTGCCTAGCACATAGCTCAAGTATTTGTTGAAATAATGTATGAAAGCATCCACTCCTTTTTCCTTTGTGCCATCTCAGAACCTTGACTTAAAGTCAAGAATATTTCTTCCTTGTTTGTATATTGCCCCCCTGGCCATTCTCTTGGTTTTTTTAAAATTGAATTTATTGCCCTGGCTGGTTTGGCTCAGGGGTTAGAGAGTTGGCCCATGGACCAGAAAGTCCCGGGTTTGGTTCCCGCTGGGGACATATACTTCAGTTGCAGTTTGTCTCTGGCTGGTTGGGGTTGTGTGGGTAGCAACCAGTTGATGTTTCTTTCTCTCTCTTCCTCCCTCCCTCCCTCCTGCTCTATCTGAGGATGAATGCAAAAATGTCCCCAGGTGAGGATAAAAAATATATATATTTATAGTATTATTATCAAGCCCCAATAAAATAATATTTGTAAAGTGCCTGGAGCATAGTAGGTATTTATTAAGTGCAAATTCCCTTCTTTGGGGAGACACCATGGTGTAATAGAAAGAGCTAAATACTCTGGTTGCAGAACCCAGTTCTGTTGCTTATTGGTTGTGTATCTTTCTTTGCTCATCTTATGATTCTCAGTAGCCTCTTTTGGAAAATGGGCATAATTATAATTGTCCTTATTGAATTGTTAGGGAAATTATATAAAATTTATGTTAAGTATCCAGCTAGTGCTTGGCATCCAGTAAGAAGCGCTGAATAAAATGGTGATAATTATTCTGAGAAGTAATGATATACTAGTCTTTTTCCTGATTTTTCATGATCTGTAAGCACTACTTATTAGTACTAGTTAGGTTGTCCCTAATATTATTTACTAAAGATTGAATTGATTTTGGCAATATTTAAATTTTCTATCCTGAAAAAATCCTGAAACATCTATAAATGTATCATTTATGCAGAAGCTTCTTTTCAGTCAGTTTTCTTTAGAGTGCTACACTCCCTGGCAACCAGTCTTCAAAACCTGTATTTATATTCTAAGCACATTTTTTTTTACCCTGTGTAGCATTAGCGTTGTTCACCTCAGGAGCTTCCTGAAGAACTGGAATTAAGAAGAAATCTCTCAAACACAGATCTCTATCCCCTCCCAGTCTCCAGTCTCAGCTGGGAAACCTTTTCAGACTGTCTCCGACTAGGATGTCAGGACAGGCTGAAGCTTTGGCCTATCATGCTCCAAAAGAACAAGAAAGACTTATAAGTGTGAAGGTTGAAGAAGAGAATTATGTTTGGGGGCAGGACTTTGGCCTTCAGGGAAACACCTGGAACCAGGAGACCTATCACCAGCGGTTCAGGCAGTTTGGTTACTCTGACTCCGCTGGGCCCCGGAGGCTCCGAGCCGGCTCCGGGAGCTTTGCTCTCAGTGCCTGAGACCAGAGGTACACACCAAGGAGCAGATTCTGGAGCTGCTGGTGCTGGAGCAGTTCCTGGCTGTCCTGCCAGAGGAGCTGCAGGCCTGGCTGGGAGAGCACCGTCCAGAGAATGGAGAGGAGGCTGTGACTATGCTGGAGGAGCTGGAGAAAGAGCTTGATGAACCAAGGCAACAGGTAAGAAATAGGTATTTTTGTTTGCTTGTTTTATCTGTTATAAGTTAATGGGGAAGCCATTGTGAGTTGCCTTGACTTGACCATCAGAGAATTATACATTTTTTTTATTTTTATTTTTATTTCTTTTTATTCTCACCCGAGGACATTTTTCCATTTTTTGTACAGATAGAGTGGGAGGGAGAGAGAGGAAGAGACAGAGAGAGAAAAACATCGATGTGAAAGGGACACATCGAGTGGCTGCCACCGCACGACCAACCAGGGCCGGGGACAAACTGCAACCGAAGCACGTGCCCTTAGCGGGAACCGATCCCGGGTCTCTCCGGACCGCAGGCCGGAGCTCTAACCGCTGAGCCAAACCGGCCAGGGCGAGAATTATACATTTTTTGGTCTTTTGGATTTTGTCTTTTGGACTTGTCCACTGGGATCAAGTCACTAGGGTGTTTAGTCATATTGTTTTTCTATCTAATCATCCAAAAGACTTTCTGACTCCAGCTACTCTGCCTTATTATTCTAGGGGTTTTCCTCTTGCATATTCTTTGAATCATAGTGCTGCTACTTGATTACTCCTAGGACACAGCTCATAGCTAAGGAATAATCTGGAAGGAAGTGACATCCATGGGAGCACTGAAGTCTCTGAGTATCCAGCTCCAGCCCTTGGAGAATCAGTGCAAGAGTGAGACTCAGGAGCCCCAGGCTTTTCATGAGAGAGGTGAGGAGCCACAGTCCATTTGGGGATGAGGATGGAGGTAAGGGCTCTCATCTGTGGCATGGTTCCTTTTCTTAATGACAGTCACTTGCAGTGATCATTAAGTATTGTGGAAAGGCCCCCTGGACTAAAAATATTCTTCATTGACTCTGCCTAGAATCTGAAGTTCCTTTGTAATTTCTAACTTAAGACCTTAAGAATTAAGGTCTCTAATAAAATTCTGTAATAATATTCATAATATTTAAAGACCAATATTCTGTTATTTTACTATTATGGTCCCACTGGGAAGGTAGTCCCTAAGATGTAGATGAATAATGTATCAGTAACAGAAACCACATCTTGAACAAGGAAAGTGTAATATTAAGAATTATTAACTACTATAAGGGATTAATAACTATGTGCTTAAAAAAAAAACTCTCAAGATTACAGGAGTAACACGTATAGGAAGTCTCTAGGGCTGAGGCAGAGCACCCAAGGGAGGAACAAATCTGCAAGAGAGTGCCACATTTCCCTCTCCCCTGCCAGAGCTGACATGCAGATCTTGTTGGAGGGTGTGCAGCTGTGGAGGGCCACTGAAATGATGTTTGTCGAAGTGCTGAGTTGGCAGATCTTGCTGGGAAGCTGCTCTTTGGGTTGCCAAGGGAAGCCATTCATGGGGCACAGGCAGAGGGTGTGTGCAGAACTTACTGAGAAGCTACTGTCAGGGGTGCCAGGAGCCCTCTGGCGGGGAGAGGGGAGGTGCCATGACACAGAACTTGCTGGGAAGTCACCCATGGGAATAGAGCTTCTGAAACTAGTTGGAGGCAAGCACTTCTGGTGCCCCACGTGCTGTAGGAACAAATAGCACATCAGAACAAGGAAGAAAAGTCTCCTTCCTCCTCCACTGTTCCTTTGATCCCTCTATTGTTAACACTCACATCATGCCGGCTGGTCAGTGAGAAATGTTCCAGTATCGCAGGCAGGGCATTGAAGGGTGGATTTGAAGCTGAGAGGCAATATACATTGGTAACTGACAGAAATGTCAAGGATTAGAACCAAGAGGACTTCGATTATGTTATTGACAAAATCATTCCTATGGGCAGCAGATACATCAGGCTTATTAACTTGTTCTCATTAAATTTTTGTCACATCTACTCTTCTGATTTCATCTTCACCAAACAGCCTTATTTACTTCCCATGGCTTAGCTGTAATAAGAAAATACATGAGTTCAAACTGGTCTGTGTGATGGTTACATTACTCATTAATTCTCAATCTGGTTTTATCTCTCAGTTTTATGAGCTTGGCTAATAAGAGTCTACCCCCAAATCTGTTCATTATGATAAAATTAGGTTTATGAGGCCACAAGGTCAAGGACCAGACCCTGGACCTTGGCAGTTCACCAAAGGAATCCATACATCTATACACTGAGGCCTCCTGGGAAACTCCCAGCCTTCCTTTCCCCTACACATCATTAGCCAAGTGAGCCCACTTAAATATCTGCATCAAGCAGGAGCTACAGTATAATGAATTTTAAGAAATCATCTCTACAAATCCCCTACCTTAAAGCAGGCAAATGTCTAAATTATTTAGGGTAGATTACTTCTACTTCCTTCTTTGAAGGTCTTGAGGAACAGAGACTCTGTGGTAATTTCTTAAGTCTTTCTTGGGATTTTTCATACTGACTGAATTGTGACCTCCCACCTCCAAGTACATATGTTGAAGCCCTAACCGCCAATACTTCAGAATATGACTGTATTTGGAGACGGGGCTTTTAAAGAAGCAATTAAGTTAAAATGGGATTGTTAGGGTGACCCCTAATCCTATATGACTGGTATCATTATGAGAGGAGATTGGGGCACGGACAACACAGACCAAAGGACGACCATGTAAGAACACAGTGAGAAGGTGGCCATCTGCAAGCCAAAGAGAAACAGGCTTCAGAAGAAACCAAACCTGTAGACACTTTAATCTTGGACTAGATTCCAGAATTGTGAGAAAACAAATTTCTGCCGTTTAAGCCACCTAGTCCATGGTGTTTTGTTATGGCAGCCTTAGCAAACCAGTACAGTATTAAAGTTCTTCCCTGTGTTTATGTGAAATATTTCCTGCTTTAATTTAATTCCATTTCCTTTTATTGCTTTAGCAGAGTCCTTATAAAATATAGCCTGTTCTTGCAGGTAGTGACTACAGTGTTCTTTGACCTTGTGTTAATTAAGCATTCCACTGCCTCTGATTCCATCTATGTTCCATTTCTTTAGTCAACTTAGCAGATTTCTCTGGGCATGCTTCAGTTTCTCCACATTCATTTGAAGTGTAGGGAGAAAAGATATTCTAATGAGGATCTGATTAACTTAAAATATAAGGGATATTCACTCCCTAACTCTTATCTGTTGCGCTCTGTATCTTTTTGTTTCTTCCTTCACAAGGGCATTGTGTTGTTGACTCAGTTCCCTTAAGGCAACAGCGATTCTATCTTTCAGCCTCCCTTGGCTTTAGAAAAGTTTTCTCATCCTCCATTAATACCTGACCCCTAACTGTATGGTCTTGAATGGCCTTGACTGGGTTCCTGATAACTCTCATTAAGCTGGTGTATTTTTAGTCTTGAGGGTGCTAGTCAACCCCACCTCTGAAGAATTAATGTGGATAATTTCACATCTTTCACCTAGGTCATAAGGTTTAAGTCACTGGAGGGCCCCCACGTTGACAGGACTGTAGGAGTCACTGTGTCATTTTTACGACCTTACACCCTTAGTTATAATTGTCCTGTAGATTCTTCACTAACCTACAGTATATTTTGCTAGAAGAAGAGTCTGAGATGGAAATGTGGGTGCAGGTGATTTATAGAGCACATGCTCTTCAGGAGAAATCTGTAGTGGAGTGAGGGAAGCAGGGTTAGGAAGGGAGATCAAGCAATGATGTGGTCTTGGGTAAAGCTAGCCTTGGCCTAATTCATGGGGGGTTGGGGGACTCCCTGGAGCATAATCGCACTGCCAAGTTGTCCCTTCTTGAGGTGCAGGGGGTGGTGGTGGTGGTGGTGAGGGTGAAAGTAACTTTCTGGGCCAGGTCACTCTCAGCCAGAGCACCTCTCCAGAGAAGGGGCAGTTGTGGATAGTTAGAAACCAATACTCATAGCAGCTGGCGGAAGAAGGCACCATATAGGGCGGGTAGTGGAACATCATCTACATAGTATTAAGGCTAAAAGCATATTTGTCCGTGTGTAATTAAAGGCCACGTCCCTAGTTAAAACAGTATTTTAGACCATATAGGTCACTGAGCAGGTACGAAATTAGCTGGGAGGAGGGGTGTTACAGAGAAGAGCTCTTCTACAGAGAAACCTGTGGCTTATTTCTCCTACAAAGCACCTCTTATAATCTGTACTCCACCCTCCAGCCTCCAGACTTTAGGCTTGATTGTGAATTAGTAGTCATTCTTGGAAGAATGAATAGTTAGGTTATTTGGATTATTTCTGTACCAATATTTCTAAATATTTGAGTGATCATTTCTTATTCTACTTTTAATCTGTTTGTCATTCCTAGGAATTATTCCAGTTAACTGTTTATTCTAATATTTTTGTATAATACAAATATATAGTTAATGCCTGGCTGGTTTGGCTCAGCGGTTACTCTCTTTCCCTCCCACTCTATCTGAACAAAAAATGTCCTCAGGTGAGGATAAAAAAGCAATATATATACATAAATATATATATATATGTATATATATATATATACACACACACACACACACACACATATATATATATAGTGAAAAACTTAAAAGCCTTGATTTCCCCCCTCCACCCCCTCCCTGATTTATACGTCTAAAGTCAAGGTTTTTCCGTGGTCTCATAATTTGATTTCATATAATTAACAGAATTTGAAGAGGTATTTTAACTCTTATAACTCACATTGCTGTTCTGATTTTCACAGTTCTGCTTTTGTCCCTACATGATTTTATTGCCACTTTATACCCTTTATAATTCATATTTTTTATAATTTGACCTATTTACTACTTTCAGAAACTTTCTCATTAGATTGTCATGTCTCTGACATTAACCAAGTTGGTGCTTATTATCATTCTGCCTTTATTATATGCTAATATATTTTTTCTTTTTCTTTTTTTTTTTATCCTCACCCGAGGACACTTTTCCCATTTTTTGCACAGATAGAGTGGGAGGGAGAGAGAGGAAGAGAGAGAGAGAGAGAGACATCGACGTGAAAGGGACACATCGAGTGGCTGCCACCCGCACGACCAACCAGGGCCGGGGACAAACTGCAACCGAGGTACATGCCCTTAGTGGGAACCGAACCCAGGTCTCTCCCGACCGCAGGCCGATGCTCTAACCGCTGAGCCAAACCGGCCAGGGTGCTAATGTATTTTTTCATAAGTTTTCCCTTTTTGAACAAGCACAGCCTTGATTCATTTAAATTCCTATCTAAGATGCAAGGATGGTGTGAATTTTAGTATTCTGTCCAATCTAAGAGACGATGCTGTTCATCTAATTTCTGGCAAGGAATGCTTTGGTCAGGTCATCACTGTGAGACTTTATTGTTATGTTCTAAGTGTTGTAAACTCAAAGAATATAAAAAAAGAAGTATTTCTTTTTATACAAAAACATAAAAGTTTTACAAAGCCAAATAAAAATTATTTTTAAGTTATTTTTTGTTTTAGTGCAACGATAGCCCTGCTTCCTGTCAGTAGGCAGGCAGAGGACATGGGGAAAACTGCAGGCCTTGATGTTAAGCATCTTTGTTTGCATTCTGACTCTGCCAGTTGTTAATTCCAAGGCCTTACATAGGTGATGTAGCCTCTCTGAGCCTCAGTTTCCTGATCTGTAAAATGCATAGAAGTTTAGAGTACTGTGGGGAGGGTGAAAGTAACTTAACAGTTTTTCATATTTTCACACTTCAAAATAATTTGTTACCTCAGCCATCATGTAGTACTCTCTTGTTCTGAGTTACTAAAAATCTAGAAACAAGAGGGGCATGTTGCCCTGGCCGGTTTGGCTCAGCGGTTAGAGCATCGGCCTGTGGACCAATGAGTCCTGGGCTTGGTTCCGGTCGAGGGCACGTACCTCGGTTGTGGTTCGTCCCCAGCCCTGGTGGGGTCGTGCAGGAGGCAGTCAGTTGATGTGGCTCTATCACATCGATGTTTCTCTCTGTCTCTCCCTTCCTCCCACTCTATCTGATAATAAGTAGAAAAATATCATCAGGTGAGGAATTGAAAAAGGGGGGAGGGGCATGTTGTGTGAGATCTGAAGGTTTGTCTCCAGGCAGTCACATCAGCTTCTTGTTTCCATCCACCCTCTTTGACCATTTACATGTAAAAAGTGAACATATAAGACTCCCATATGACCCCAGAATGAGTCAGAAACCCACAATATTCTTTTTCTCATGCTCTCTATATCTCATTCTATTTGTTTATAATCATTTGATCAGCTTAGAACCTGCCAGAATCTGCAATTGCCTTATCGTGTTTTAGTTCCTGCCCACCTACTTCTGCTCAGTTTTAACCCCCAAAATATTTTCTAATTGTATCTTTTGCTCTCCTACACTTTTACTTATTGAAGACTCTTAGACTTCTTTCTTTATCATAATTACTCCCTATCACCTTTTCCTTTCGCTCATTACCTAATATGTATCTTCTTCTCTAACCCAGGATTGTCTCCTAACTCCTCTACTCCTATTTATCAGTATCTCTAACTAATGTCTCCCTGTTTATCATCCCTCCTTTCCAGTGATGCCAGTGATGCCAGTGATGACTCTCATTCTTTTTTTTTTAATCCTCACCCCAGGATATTTTTCCATATTTTGTTCAGATAGAGTGGGAGGGAGAGAGAGAGAGAGAGAGAGAGAGAGAGAGAGAGAGAGAGAGAGAGAGAAAGAGAAACATTGACGTGAAAGGGACACATCGAGTGGTTGCCACCTGCATGACCCAACCAGGGCCGGGGACAAACTGCAACCGAGGTACATGCCCTTAGCGGGAACTGAACCCGGGTCTCTCTGGACCGCAGGCCAATGCTCTAACCACTGAGCCAAACCGGCCAGGGCATGACTCTCATTCTATGTCTGCCTTACTTGCTGAGTAAGCCTACCTCTCACTACTCAAGGCCACTTCTCTAAATTCTAGATTGGGAAGGTAGTCTTAAAGAGTTTCTTCCTAATAGGTAAATACCTGTTTCATTTGGTTTATTTTATGTTCCTACTGTAATCGATTCCTTTCTTCCAACATAGGGAGCAAATGACACTTGCATTTTCTATTTACATTTTTAGGTGGCAAGCTGGTGGCTGGCAAAGCATTGACAGCAAAGCCAGAAGTTATTGAATATGTAACAGCAGCAGCCATGATATCCCCAGGAAGACTCCTTGGGGAAACCCCCTCAGGACAGGTAGTTGAAGAAGCTTTGGGAGGTCTAGACTTTAAGAAGCCAACAGAAAATGCTGCAAGGAACAAAATGAATCAGCTCCCTTACCAGGAAAGACAGTTTAGTCTGCCAACATTCAACAAGAAAATCTCCACAGAAGAGGATGTCCTTGAATGTGATGGAAGTGGAGGCAGTCTCGGTCTGAACTCAAACGTTCTAACACAACAGAGACGTCACACTGGGGGAAAGCGCGACGAGTGCTTGGACTGTGGGAAAACGTTTTGCCAGAGCTCAAGGCTGATTAGACATCAGAGAATTCATACTGGAGAGAGACCGTATGCATGTAAAGAATGTGGCAAAGCCTTTAGTTTGAGCTCAGACCTTGTTAGACATCAGCGAATCCATAGTGGAGAAAAACCCCATGAATGTTGTGAATGTGGAAAAACTTTCAGGGGCAGCTCAGAGCTCATCAGGCATCGGAGAATTCACACTGGAGAGAAACCTTATGAATGTAGTGAATGTGGGAAAGCTTTCAGCCGGAGCTCAGCTCTTATTCAGCATAAGAAAATTCACACTGGAGACAAAGGCTATGAATGTATGGAATGTGGTAAGGCTTGAATGTATTGAATGTAGTAGAAGCTCTATCCTTATTGAACATCAAAGAATTCACCCTGGAGAGAAACCTTATGAATGTAACAAATGTGGAAAATCCTTCAATCAGAGCTCAGCCCTCACTCAGCACCAGAGAATTCACACTGGGGAGAAACCTTATGAATGTAGTGAATGTAGGAAAACATTTAGGCATAGGTCAGGCCTTATGCAGCATCAGAGAACTCACACCAGAGTTTAACTATGGGTATGAGCTCTACAGTTGTGAAATACAAGGTATTCACATTGGGATGAGACTACAAAAGACAGAAGTTTTCTGAGAGCAGAGCTCCTGTCCTTCCAGCCCAGTTCGGTATTTTAAGAGTAGCTTAATACAAAGATGGTGAAGTGCTGAGTGGGCACCTTCACAGTAAGTCCAGGATTGGGGCAGAGATTCTGAGAGAGCTCCTTACAAGATGACTAAGAGGCGATGCCTCCGATGGCAAGGCCCCCTGCCCAGCAAGAGATCGGTGCATTTGGCATTGGAAGCACATGCTGAGTTATTTGGCTATCTGAAATGTTGAATTATGCCCTGGATTTTAGTAGTATCTGGGGAATGATAACTCTTTCTGCCCCTTTGCCAGTTCTGTCCTCAGCCCTGAGCTTCCTGCTGAGGTCAGTTGAGGTCCACTTATTTATTGAACACTTGCTATGTGACAGCCATTAGGGAAGACATAGCCATTGTCCTCCTAGAGTTAAGGGCTAATGAGATATACATATATATTAAACAGATAATTCAGTAAAGTGTGTTAAGTACTTTGGTAGGATAAACCAGGATTCTGTCGAAATACCTAGTCTGTCAGTCTTCCTGCATGCGATAAAATCTCGGTTGAGATGTAAAAGGTAGGTGGAAGTTAGCCAGGTCGAGGCAAGCAGGAGGAGAACATTACAGACAGAGGTTATAGCATGTATAATGGTATGGATAGGATCTAGAAATGTCCCTTCATCAGGGCTCTTCTCTCTGGCAGGAATTGGTTCTTCTAGACTCTGATTCAAAAGCCAGAACATGTGTTGGTTCCTCACTTCCTGTTAATGATCACTGAGCTGGGTAGCCTATCCCAGACCCAGAGTGACCTGAGATCTTGATATACTCAGGAGATTAGTGTGATAGAAGACTGGTATGTTATATGGAAAAAAGCATGTATGTACACCAAGGAAAGAATACATATTGGAGGCTAGATGCACAGTAGGGACTGGATTGTCTGTGTGCCATGACCTTGGGGCCCAGGAAATGGGCAGGTGACAGGAACACAGGAATGGGAGGTCTGCCTTCCCAGGCTCCACTCTTCCTCATCCCCTGTTCCCTCCCCTCATCACCAGCCTTCGGATGTTAAGCTACTTGAAAGCAATGAATATTTGATGAATTACACCCTCAGATTCCTTAGAACTCAACTCTGCTAGTTTTTATTTTGGTAGTTTTAATTAACCCATAATTAATTGCTGAAGGCAATTAATACCTACAAGAAAGTTTGATTCCTCTTCTAAGATGTCCTGATTTCCCTTTCAGATACTGTTACTTCTGAAGACTTGGTGATCAAAGCTCTTGTGGGTAAGAGGGGTGGTGAACTTTTGGGGAGAGTCTTATGCTCATAAGTTGTGGGATCATCATTGAGTGAGGTCAATCAGAAGTCTGAAGACTTCAAATGGATAGACTTGCCAGTTTTTGTAGATGACAATCAATCATGTGATTTCATGTTTTTAATGATCATTTAATATATTTTTCTGATTGTGAATTCTAAATGTTGATAATACAGAAAATGAGAAAGTATAAATTACCCACAATCCCACTACCCATAGGAACATTGCTAACATTTTGGAGTACTTTTTATTAGTCTTTTTTCTTTCAACCCTAATATTTTTGGATAAAAATCTTGTTTGGCAAATCATTTGTAGTAACTTATTTTAACATATATACTTCAACTATTTAATATTAGAATGTAGTGCAAGGTATATTCAATAAAATTTGAGTTTTACATTTTGCTTTGACATTATTCATTCAGGAGTAGGGAACACAATGACATGAGTGGAGATGCTGGGAGAATGGGGGAAGGAGTTGTGGAAAGTCAAGGAAATGGTGTTCTTTGCTTTTATTCCTTGGGCTAAAAAGTGTCTGGAAACAAGCAGCTAGTCCCTGCAGCAGCAGTTCACCAGGTGAAGTCACAAAATTGAGGGTACATCTGGGGCTGCATTGTGTTTGAAAGAATATGGGATGAGAACAAGTAGCCTCTTGAAACACACACACCTGTGTGCCCACCAGAATCACAACACTTTTCCACCTTTGAGAACAAGAGCCTGGGCAACTGCCATAGCCTTCCCCTTCTCTCTCAGCAGGTCCTCAATAGAAACACTTATGCAGGAAAGAACCCACGACCCCTTAGATCTGTGATTATGTCAGCCAACAAGACAGCTGCCAATGCCAGAGTTTGGGTAGCAATGTCTGGTTCTGGCCCATCAAAAAGCAGGGGATGGGTGAGCGGGTGTAGATGGGGTCTGTCCATGGGGCTCACCTTTCCTCTCAACTTTGCAGAAATGCTCTCCAGTTCAGTCCTCCTGCATGGGAAATTATTCTACCTGCCAACCCCCCTTGGTCTGAGGATTCACTTTATGGGACAAGAGAAGCAAAGGAGTTCACAGGGGAGTTTGGAGAGACCAAGGTCAGATTTGCTTCAATTTTTAATCCTTTCAGCTGGACAGTGTTAACTGAAGCCTCTGGAAATGAGGAGGAAGAAGGGAAGAGGTAGGCGATGATACTAAGCAACTTGTCTAAACTGCACATTATCTTTTATTTATTTTTTAAAATATGTTTTTGATTTTTTAGAGAGGGAGAAATAGAAACATCGATGTTAGAGAGAAACATTGATTGGCTGCCTCCTGCATGGCCCCTACTGGGCATTATTGAGCCCACAACCCCACATGTGCCCTAACTGGGAATCAAACTAGGACCCCTCAGTCCATGGGATGACGCTCAGTCCCCTGGGCCACACCAGCCAGGCACACATTATCTTTTTAAATCTGTGACTCTGTTGTGCAAGATCCATTTAAGGTAAACATTGTTCCCCACTGTACTGCCTCTATACCAAGGCCCCGAGGAAAAGGGAAAGGCACGAATTACTGGTGAAGGAGAAGAAGTTACCTTTGACATCTAGCTTATATTGGTGCCTCCCCCAACCCCATTTCATAAACATGTAGAATGTTGAAACTCTAACTGGAAGAGATCATCTACTTCAGCTCCTTTAACCTGAGGGTCCAGAATTGTCAGGTGACTTGCTTACAGCTGCAGAATTAATGGAAAAGAACTAGCAAGAACAAAGGTCTCCACTTCAAGGATATTCCCTTTCTCAACTATAGATCTCCTTCGTGCAAAAAGCTCACATTTGCAGATACTTATTATTTGCAGAAGACCTTTTGTATACATTAGTGTGAATAGGTATGTCTGCCATTATTATTTACCAATGAAGAAGTCACAGATCAGAGTTCACAAGTTAGCTAATCTCCTAGGACTTGGAAGGTGCAGAGATGCTATGGAAAATATGTGCTTTTCTTAATATTTCTCAACTATTCTGGGCTTTCACCCCCCTGCCCCTCCACCCCTTTTTTCTCTAATTTTGGAAGTTTTAGATATTTATTGCAAGACAATTTGGAAGACACAAAAAAGCAAAAGAAAAAACTAAATCATCTATAATCTTATCACCCAGAGATAACCACTATAAATACTTTAAGATTATGTATTTCCAATATTTTTACATGGAATCATACTGTACATAATTGTTTTTTATTTGTACTTAAGATATTAATGCTTTGTCATTTAATATTAACATAATTTTAACAGCTTTTAAGACTTTGTACACATTCATGATGGTTTCTGAAGCATACATTTACAGGTAGAATTCTTTTTTTTTTTTTTATCCTCACCCGAGGACATTTTTCCATTTTTTGTTCAGGTAGAGTGGGAGGGAGAGAGAGGAACACAGAGAGAGAGAGAAACATCGATGTGAAAGGGACACATCGAGTGGCTGCCACCCGCACGACCAACCAGGGCCGGGGACAAACTGCAACCGAGGTACATGCCCTTAGCGGGAACCGAACCCGGGTCTCTCAGGACTGCAGGCCGATGCTCTAACCGCTGAGCCAAACCGGCCAGGGCTACAGGTAGAAGTTTTAAGTCAAAAGGCAATGCTTAAGGCTTCTGGTATTGATTGCCAGAGATTGTATCTATTCACATCTCATTTACAACATTAGAGTCCCAATTTCCCTGAATTTTTGTTAGTTTTGTGAGGGACAAAAAAAAAAAAATTTTTTTTTGCCATCTCAATTCTTGCTTTAATATACTACAATTTTAATTCTAGGAAGGCTGAACACTTAATGTCCATTGGCATTTATTCTTGTGACTTGCCTATTTAGGAAACGTTTTTTTCTATGGCAGCTTTTTCACGGGGAGACAGTATAGAGAAATGGCTCCACGAAGGGTTCTGGATTCCTACTGCCTGGGTTCCAAGTCTAACCTCACCACATTTTAGCTTTATGACAGAGTAAGCCATGATCCTAAGCTTTCATTTCTTTATCTGCAAAATATGGCCTGAGAAGTAACTAGTATATATATACAAAGCCCTAACAAGTACCTATTGTTTCTTATTGGTATGTGTAAGAACTCTCTGTATAGACTCTCTCCCTTTTGTAATATATGCTATATCATTCCTTCTTAGTTTGCCCTACCCTTTTCAGTTTGGGTCTTTCTCTGTGGAAGAAAATATCAGTTGAATAGCTCTTGCTATTTTGATACATTTCACCATCTTTTCCAAACGATTTTATCCTTTTTTTCCACATTCTAAGCACAGGCAGTTAGCCCTCCTGCCATTCCTACTGCTAATACATGCTCACTTGTATATGCCTCAGCTAGAGCAGCACTTTTCACCCTCATAAAAACCTGTCCTATGCACAAGACTAGATTCTCATAGGTGTGTATTTTTGGTAGGGTATGTTATAACTTCAACCTATTAGGTATTTTGGATGTTTTTCAGTTGCTGACTAGCCTATCCACCTTTCCACATTGCACCGAGAAGTACCAGACTAGGGATACTTGTCATGATGGGTTCCTCAGAAGAGGGTAGTCTCTGGATGGACCATGACTTACTTTCTGTCATCATTTCCGTTTAGTATTAACAAAATTCACGAAAGACTGAATACTGCTGATATAAGCCAAAACCAAATGTGTGTGAGGTACTTGGAGAATAAATCACAGACCCAGTAACTGACAAATGTTTTTAGCACCCAAGCCCAAGGGAGTGCACTAGGAACTGTGGGGGTACAGCCCCAGAAACAAATGATATGATAGCCATAGCAGCTTCTGACCCACAGACTTGGGAGGAAGCTGATAGCAACTCTGTTAGTATTAAGAACCAAAGATGTCCTTATGTCTGGGAGAGGGACATTTAGAACTCAACCTCTAGGCTGGGATCTTCCTCATCGCCCCACCCCCACCTACATGAGAGGCCTAGCCTAGTCTACAGATAGGGCAAGGAGACTACTTATTAGCTTTCTCTGGGTCACACCAGGTAAAGACAAAACTCCTCACCACCTGTGGTCCAAGGACTCCAGATTTTTTCTATTAACAAACTTCTCCACAGGCTCATATTTTACTTGAGGCACTGCTTAAGAGATTCTGGCTACATCCATACTTCTTACAGACCAGACTCCACGTCAAAAGGAACTCAACAGGAATGCTTCACAGTGGCCTTCTACTTTTAATTTCTCAGATGTGCGACTTTCTTCCCAACTTTTGTCTGTTGTTCCCACTCATCCTTCAGATCATTTTTTTCTCAGAAGCCTTCCTTGACCCAAGGTTAGGTCAGGTACTTCTTAATGTCATGTAGCACTGATCATTCCAGTGTCACTGCCTGTTTGCCCTGTCCATTCAACTGTAGAGACTGTCTTTATTGTCCATTATACCTAGTTCCTCGCACAAAGCAGGCACTCAAAAAATAACTGCTGGATAATTTAATTTGTATTCTTCTATCTAATTTCTGGCCTGCTCTGGGTACAATAAATCATTGATGAAACTGTTTTCTCATCTGTCTTGCTGTCTTTTCACTGTTTTTAATTAATCAATAAAATTTCTGCATTCCTGCCCTGGCCGGTTTGGCTCAGCGGTTAGAGCGTCGGCCTGCGGTCCGGAGAGACCCGGGTTCGATTCCCGCTAAGGGCACGTACTTCGGTTGCAGTTTGTCCCCGGCCCTGGTTGGTCATCCGGGTGGCAGCCACTCGATGTGTCCCTTCACGTCGATGTTTCTCTCTCTCTCCCTCCCACTCTATCTGTACAAAAAATGGAAAAATATCCTCGGGTGAGGATAAAAAAAAAAAAAAAAAAAAAAAATTTCTGCATTCCTAAGACAAAATGTCCCCCAAACCTGGTACACCAGAAGTCAGATGCAGTGACCAAACTTGGGTTGTGTACCTCTTCATGACATTCTCATGGAAAATGGTTTCAATATACTAGTCCCATTTTTCCTATTTCCTAAGGATTCCTAATGGGAACAGAAAAGCTGAATGCAGCGGTTCTTCCACCTGCTGTTCTGACTAGTCACAGGAAGCTTTCAGGGGGCCGTATGCAGACGCACTCAGAAGTGCTGCATAGTTAGACCGACTCAGGACCTAGTAATTCACAACCTTCATGGAGTCTTGTTCAAAGTAAACCCTTTTGACTAACAAAGATATAAATTTGACTGAAGTATTTACAATATTCATTTTATTCACAAGTTACTTTATAGTGTGGACTCTCTGATGGCGCATAAGGACTGATCTATGCCTGAAAGCCTTCCCACATTCATTACATATATAAGCTTCATCCCCAGAGTGGATTCTCTGATGTTGAACAAGGGCTGAGCTCCTTTTGAACGTTTTGCCACATTCATTACACTGATAAGGTTCCTCTCCACTATGAATTCTCTGATGTCTGATGAGGTTTGAGCTCAAACTGAAGGCTTTTCCACACTCATTACATTCATAAGGCTTCTCTCCACTGTGTATTCTCTGATGGGTTATCAGCTCTGAGCTCTGCCGGAAAGCTTTTCCACATTCATTACATTCATAAGGTCTTTCTCCTGTGTGAATTCGCTGGTGTCTAATAAGCTTTGAGCTTTGGCTAAAGGTTTTCCCACACTCACTACACTCATAGGGTTTCTCACCAGTATGAATCCTTTGATGGATAATGAGATATGAACTTTGACTGAATGCTTTGCCACATTCGTTACACTTACACGCTTTCTCACCCGTATGAATTTTCCGATGTCTAATGAGGGCTGAGCTCTGATTGAAGGCTTTCCCACACTCACTACATTCATATGCTTTCTCACCACTATGAATTCTCTGATGAATAATAAGATACGACCTCAAACTAAAGGCCTTCCCACACTGGTTACATTTATAGGGCTTTTCTCCAGTATGGATTCTCTGATGTTGTGTTAGAGAGGAATGTTGTTTAAAGCTGTGCCCACATACATCACATCTATAAGGTCTCTCTTCTGTAGGAAGTTTCTGATACGTTACAGAGTTTGTACTTAGAACCAGGCTTCTTTGAGGCTCATGATGGTCTCTCTTTCCTAGAGATGTGTGTGTGATTACTTGACTTAAAGTGCCTCCTTGGGAAGGGGATCGTCCTAATTTCTCTCCTGAAGCCCTTCCTTGCTGCCACTCTAAATTGCTTTCGTGTTCACTAACTCCTCCGACTGAAAGTTTCTGGGGAAGTCCTGCTTTTTCTCCTGAAATGTCCTTCTTTGTCGCTGATTCATTGTTCTCACAATCTGAAATGATAATAGCAAAAAACAGATTTTTAATTTCTCCAGTCACTCTCAATACTTTCTATGTGAGAGAAAACAGATGCTTCTACCCACAAAAGATGTCACTGTCCACATATATCTGATCACAACAGGGTCCCTCCTTTCTAATACTAGGGCCTATATCTACACTTTGCAGTTTATCCTTTCTTGCCTCCTGAGTCTTCAGTGGGTCAATTACCTACTACTATTCCTTTCCTAATAATTTCAACCTCTTTCTCTACTGTCTCCTTTTTGCTCATCAGCATTTAAATGAGCTCAAGTCTCTCTTATCTTTTAAAATCAAGCTCCCTGCCCACACATCTTCCTCGTGAAACCTCATATCCATTCAGAGTAACACATCTTAAAGGGGTTGTCTATACTCATCTCTCTTCTGCAGTCTGGTTTCTGCCTTACCTGTGCCCTGCCCCCTTCCCTTCCTTTCTCATCCCCATACACTCTCATCAAGGTCATCAACTTCATAGCTACTTAATCTATGGATACTTTATGGATCTTACTTAGTTGGACTCTCTGTAACAACGACACTATGGACAACACCTTCCTTCTAAAAACAGCTAGATTAGCCCGGCCAGTGTGGCTCAGTGGTTTAGGTTCGACCCATGCACTAAGAAGCTGCCAGTTCGATTCCTGGTCAGGGCACATGCCCACATTGTGGGCCTGATCCCCATTGCGGGGCATGTAGGAGGTGGCCAATCAATGTTCTCTCTCATCGATGTATCTATCTCTCTCTCATATCAATAAAGAAAAAAACACTTTTTTAAATAAAAAAATAAAAACAGCTAGATTAGCCTGATTTCTGTGGCTGTTCCTTCTTAGATTCATAGGCCAATCATTCAAACATAAGTTCCTTCAAATTTTGTTCTGGGCTCTCATGTATCCCCACTCACAAACTGTCTTCCTCCTAGATTTCAATTAATAATGTACTTATGTTATAAGCTAATCGGGTCTCTAATTCTATCCCAATTTTCTCTGTTAAGCACTCAACTCTCATATCCAATGCTAACTGTGCATTTACTTGTGAATATTTCACAAGCACCAAAATGTCCCAAACTAAATACACCATCAATGTGTTTTTTTTCTTACGTTTTCCATTTACAATATAGTACCACTATTAACCAAGCTGTTTAAGACTAAAACTTGAGCCCTGGCCAGTTTGGCTCAGCGGTTAGAGCGTCGGCCTGCGGTCCGGAGAGACCCGGGTTCGGTTCCCGCTAAGGGCACGTACCTCGGTTGCAGTTTGTCCCCGGCCCTGGTTGGTCGTGCGGGTGGCAGCCACTCGATGTGTCCCTTCACGTCGATGTTTCTCTCTCTCTCTCCCTCCCACTCTATCTGTACAAAAAATGAAAAAATATCCTCGGGTGAGGATAAAAAAAAAAAAAAGACTAAAACTTGAATATCATCCTCAACTCTTTAAAAAAAAATCTTTTTTTTTTTCTTTATTGATTTTAGAGAGAAAGGAAGGGAGAGAAACAGAAACATCCATGAGAGTGAGAGAGAAAACATTGACTGGCCACCTCCTGCACGCCCCCCACTGGGGATTGGGCCCACAACCTGGGCATGTGCCCTGACTGGGAATCGAACCGGCAACCTCTTGGTGCATGGGTCGACGCTCAACTACTGAGCCACACCGGCCAGACCTCATCCTCAACTCTTATCCACATGCTCCACTTTTAATAATGACCAGCTACTGCAGCGCAATTTAAATACTGATAAGCAGGCATCAGCTATGATGTTCCCCACCTCTCACCATAATACATCTTGATTTACTCACTGTGGCCACTTGGATTACAACAGTCTAATAGGGCTTCAAATGCATTTTCCACCCTGCAACTAAGTTTTCCCACACATATCCACTCATGCCATTCCCTTGTCCAGACCTCTTCAACTGTATCCCACTTCACTGCACAAACTAATTAGAATGACATACAAATTTTCACAATCTGGGTCCCATTTTCCTCTAGTTTATTTTACTTTCTCTCCCCTATGAATTCTCTATTCAAGTTAAGTTGAATTATCTGCAATTCCCAGAATGGGCTATATTCTGTCACCTTTAAGACTTTGTGGCCTTTGTTTGTGTGCTATTATAACAGAGGAGATATATATTTGGTCTTCAACCCCAGTTCCCAGCAGTTTTTTTAAAAACCCTTGAAATTTCCTAAGTGGTATAGATGAGAGGAGTGTTTCCTTTTATTCATAAGTCCCAAACAACCACACCTGGGTTTGTTAATGAGGTGACTATTGGGGAGGTAGGCTGATTGCCATAGGAACCAACCAAGTGATTAGGGGGTGGGAATTTTCAGCCCCATCCTCTGACCTTCAGGGAGAAGAGCTGGAAACTGAGTAAGCTCATCACCAGTGGCCAATGATTTAATCAAGTGTGCCCATGTAATGAAACCTCCACAAAAACTTTAAATAAAGGGGTTCAGAGAGCTTCTGGGATGGTGAATATATCCAAATGTCAGGAGAATGGCACCCCAAACATCACAGCTATAGAAGCCCCTCCTGGACTTTACCCTATGTACTGCTAGTTCATTTGTACCCTTTATAATAAATTAGTAATAGTAAGTAAGGTGTTTCCCTGAGTTCTGTGAACCACTGAAGCAAATTATGAAACCTGAGAAGGCAGCCATAGAACTGCCAATTCACAAGAAATCAGAAGTATGGGTAACCTGGGGCTCATTACGTGCAACTGGCATCTGAGGTGGGGGAGGAACAGTCTTGTGGGACTGCAATTTTAACCTGTGGGGTCTGCACTAATTTGGGGGAATTAGTGTAAGAACTGCTTAACGTGAGGGAAAATACCATACATCCGGTGTCTGAAGTACTGAGAAAGTTTTTCCCTTTAGCTTGGGATACTCCTCCTCCTCCCACCTATTTACTTGGCTTTTTCCTACTTATAGTTCAAGTCTTAGGAGTCCTTGAACCTCTAAGTTGGATTAGGTGTCCTTACATATGCTCTTATAGTACCTAGTGCTGACTTTTATTCTGTAATTTATGAGACTATACTGCAATTGCCTTTTTGCTTGTCTACCACCCTATCCAGACCTGAAAGTTCCTTGAAGATAGAGACCCAGTGCCTGTCATACCGGATGTGTATTAGTATCCAGTTAAGATATATAATGAAGGAATAAGTAAATAAATGACAGAGAAACTGACACAAAGAGGCCTGACTGCACTTTGTGAGGGTTGCTGAATAAAAAGCTGCTAAAGTGAGCACCTCTGGCCTAGAATAATAAAGGTGAGGCTTACACGTGGCACATTTATAAAATGCAATTGATTCTGTATCCTCAAAGCCAGAGGCTTAACTGATAAAAGTTCCCAGATGAGTTTATTTCTTACCACTTGTGGGCGAAAGGCAAGGTTCCCAAGATTTCAACTTTGTCTTTAAAGGCTGGAGTTGGATATTTAACTCTTGGGATGCTTCAAGACATGTCAAATCCTTCCATGGTACTGCTAGTCTTTGTGGACTAGCTGGGACCTGAAATCAGTAAAATGTGATGAGCATGGTGAGGAAATTCCTAGGGAAATGCTTAGTTAAAAAAAATCTCAGGGGGATAGAGGAAAAAGAACTATTTAAGGGTAGTGACTAGTAGTCACTTCAGGGTTATGGTTCAGTAGAGACGTATTTTTACCCTCTAGTTACGATGATGCCACATGCTCTAGTTTGTAAATTCCTTTTCCCAGAACATATTGCATCTCCTTGTTCCTACCTGCTGCCCTGGGTCATCAAATTCCCTCTCCAAATCCTCCAATAGAGTCACAGCTTCCTCACCACTTTTTGGACTATGTTGCTGAACCCAGACCTGCAGTTCCTCAGGCAGGATGCTCAGGAACTGCTCCAGCACCAACAGTTCTAGGATCTGCTCCTTCGTGTGCAATTCTGGCATGAGCCACTGATAGCAAAGCTCCTGGAGGCGGCCCAGAGCCTCCCGGGGCCCAGGTGTCTCCTGGTAGCAAAACTTTCTGAATTGCTGGCGAAACAATTCTTGGCAGGATTGGGTACTCCCATTCTGCTTTAATTTCTGACCCCAGGAAAGGCTTTCTTCTACTTTCACTAGTATCAGTTCTTGTTTCTGAGGATTTTGAGGTAGCAGGGTTGAAACTGCTCTGGATTCCACAGCCATTCTGGCCTGAAACAGTTGATCAAAAAGCTCACTACAACTGGGTACTCAACTTCAGAAATTCTTTGAGTAATCTCTTCTTTCCTGAAGGATAAAAAAACACTGTTAACTTATAGCAATGAAAAAAAATCTCAAAGATCAGTCATTCCAGTAACATATTGAAAAGGAGCAAGTTTGAGACTATAAATAAATAATAATCAAGTGACAAACTAAAAATCACTAATGTCTTTTACTGTCTCCTATTTTGTAGAATTTCTTCCACTGATTCTATATGAAATTTTGGAAGTCAAAGAATGTAATATTAACATGAGTCATATACTGAGAAATTTCCTTTTTAATTCTTTTTCAATTCTGACTCATTGAGGAGAAAAATCTCTTTAACTTGTATATAAAATTTGCAGAACTCCCTCTTTAATAGTGATAAGTATTAGACTACCAACAGTAACAGTATCTAGGTAGGATTTAATAATGCTAACTTAAAAAATATATATTTTTAGTGATCTATCTATGGCAAATAATGTTGATTCATTTAAGGTAGTAAAACATTTTTTCAATGCATAGTAAACATTTGATTTAAATACAAACTTATTGGTTATTTGTCATTTGATCAGTTTTGGTATTCACTGAATTTCTTCAACAAACACGGAGGAACTTACTATGGGCTCTGTAGTGAGCCGGGTACTAGGATACAAAGGTTTTTACTCCTTAATAAAGGAGTCTACGAGGATAGCCAGTAAGTATTTGTTAAATGCTTACCATGTATTCAAAACCATGTTATATGTAGGGACACAGAATAAATGAAAACGTCAATCTCAGCTTTCAAAAAGCTTAGAATATATTGGAGTAAACATTTTTAAAAAGTGAAATATGGCCACAAGTATGAAGTTTTCTGATACAGATCAAACACGATCTTCTTTTAGGACGCAGGAAAATCGATAGGAGGGTATGCCCTTGAATTAGCAGGACAGTAAAATTTAACCCTAACACTACCATTAGCTTGAGAGATTAGAATATTGAGGCTACAAATCTGTGTTTTTTTAACCAGCTCAGCCGGACTGGCTTTCCTACTTTTATATTCCCGTTAAACAACAGCATTTGCAAGATCAATGGTGGGGGAGTAAGTGCCCTTTCCGCTGGAAATCAGGGGCTTGGGTGCTGGCCTCACCTGAGTCCCCAGGACGCAAGCAGACGCAGCCGGGACAAGGGGCCGCGACCCGGGGATGGGCAGGCCGAGGAGCGGGGTCTTCCACCTCGCGCCCGTCGGGGCCGCACGCCCTCCCCACCCTCCCTCCGCCTCCGGGCCCGCGGCCCTCACCGCAGAGCCCAGGAGCCGGCAAGAAGCGAGCCGACGACCCGGAGCGGCGAGCCACAAAGACCGGAAGTGCGCCCCCGCGGCTTTCCGCTCGCGATTCCTCCGTCCGCCCCGCCCATGTGCGCAAGCAGCCAATCAGCGCTGTGGGTACCACTCTTCCCACCGCCCTCCCGCTGGCCCTGGCCGGGCGGAGCTTGGGAGCCCCGGCGGGGCTTCGCAGAGCCGGGGGACCCGGTGAGAGGCCTCTCCACCGCCCTTGGCCGCATGCTACTCCCCACCTTATCCCATCAGCACCCACGATACTGGCTGTCAAGGTGCTCCTGGTTCATTCCTCCTTTGATGTTTTAGAAATATATTTCCTGTATTTCCAGTGCTTTTTCAGTATCCCGGACAAAAGTAAACACGTGGATAAACAGGCCGAACAAAATGTATGCTTTTCTGTTCAACAGCTCTGTGCAGTAGCTAATTATCCCCAGGTCACAGCTATAGACACTGTCCAAAGTCAAGCAACTTCCAACCAGAGATGCCGAAGCCCCGAAGCCCCGAAGTCCCCGAAGTCCCGAAGTCCCCGAAGTCCAGGACACTGTGCTTTCCCAGACTCCGCCCCTCCGGCGTGTTTTCCCATTTTTCATTGGACCCTAGATGACATGAAGTCTTAGTATTTAAATATTTCTTTGGCCTTTTGGAAGGTGAACAATTATGTGTCATGTTATTTTAAATGAGTTAGTTTGAGGATAAGGTATTTCCTGCTTATGTTTATTGACCATATATGGTTTTTCAAAGAAATGGCTTTTCCTGTTTTTAAAATTGAGGTATGACTGTTTTTTTTTTTTGGTTTTGTTTTGTTTTTATCCTCACCCGAGGACATTTTTGCATTTATCTTCAGATAGAGCAGGAGGGAGAGAGAGAGAGAGAGAAAGACATCCATGTGAGAGAGACACATCACTGGTTGCCACCTACACGACCCCAACCAGCCAGGGATAAACTGTAACCCAGGTACTGCCCTTACTTGGAACCAAACCTAGCACTCTGGTGCGCTGGCCGACCCTCTAACCGCTGAGTCAAACCGGCCAGGGCTCACTGTTTTTCTTTCATATTCACGAGAGTATTTTACTTGCTTAGAATATCAATTCATTTGTTACAAATGTTTCCCTTTGTATTTGTATTTAATTATTTTTTAAATGTTAGTACAAGGTGACATACATAAACACAAATTCTCCTTTGTGAAGACAAAAGACACATATTTGGGGGGAAAATTCAGTAGCATTCAGAGCTATTAGTGAGTTACTAAATCATTCTTAATCGTTGTGAAATGACTATGGCAATTTTACAAAGCAAGAGAACAAATACTGTTACCTTGTGCTTCAGTTATCTGTTGCTGCATAGTGACCAAAATGGACCTAGAGACTAAAAACAGCAGGTGTTCTATTGCACTGGATTCTGTGATGAGGAATGCAGGCGGGGCTTAGTAGAGATGGCTAGTGTCTGCTTTGTGAGGTGTCAGCTAGTGTTTTCACTCCCATTGCTGTGTTCTTGGTGCTGCTGCCCTTGCTGGGAGTAACTTCATTCTCCTTCGTAAGGCCTCTCTCCATGTAGTCTCTCATCACTTTCTTACATGGCAGCTGGTTTCCAATAGAGTGAAGGAGAAAGATGCTAGTTTTCTTAAGGCATGGGTCTGGAACTGGCATTACATTACTTTTGCTGAATTCTATTGGCAGAAGGTGTAGATTCATGGGAGGGGGAAAGAGACTTCACTTTTTAACAGGAGGAACAACTTGAACACAAGAGAAATTTTTGAAGTTATCTTTGCATCCAATCTACCACGCCTTTTGTTATATTGAGAAGCCTACTACTTAGGAGTGGAACTGTTGAAAGAGAGAAGGAATACTTTCACCTGTGGGAATAGAAAACCTCACTAAATGCCCTTATTGTTTAAGCTTGTTTATTATCCCACATAGCTAGATGTATGGGTTCCCAGGGTTGGTTAATTTCCATGGCTTGATGACATTGTCAAGGAATCAGGCTTCTTCCCTATGTCTGCTCTGCCGTCTTATAGTGTCTTGGCTTGTTCTTCAGCCTGGTTTCCCTATGGTCCTAAAACAGCTGTCTCAATTCAGATTACAGATGATATCCAGAAACAAAAAAGAGAGCACCCTTATCTTCTGCCCCTTTTTAAGACTAAGGAAAGCCTCTTAACCCAGCAGATTTCCCCTCATATCTCATTAGGTTAAATTACTTCAACTGTCTATGCCTATCCCAAAGGGGAGGTGGAGAAGGGCGGGGGGGGGGGGGGGAGTGAGACCTCCATGATGGATTCAAGTCAATTGAGATTCATATCCCAGAGCTGAGGAGAGGCCAGATCTCCTGAAGGACACTGACCATCTGGGGAAGGTGAACTAAATAAGGGTGTTAGGAAAATTGGTTTCTAGTGTTTGATCTGACTGATACCATCTTAAGAAGCAAGCTGCTCTCAGTGATCAGTTCACCCTGGGAGGAGCAGGCCCACAGCACCAGAAAAGAATGTTCTTACATAGGAAAGTGGGCCAATTAAAGTTCTTCACTGCTTTAGACTATATAGTGCTTAACAAGCACGTGCCACTTGGCTGCAAGCCACCTGCTTAACAAGCACGTGTTACTTGGCTCTAAACCACCTACTTAATGTGCACGTGACACCTACAAGTCACCTGTGTTCTGGGAGGTTGTCTATCTATATGTATATGCAGTCATCCCTCGCCACTTTGTGCTTTGACTTTCGCGGCTTCACTCTATCGTGATTTTTTCAAATATATTCATTAAAAGGTTGATCGAGACAGTGAAAATGATACAGCGCGTGCTCGGTTGTCTGAGTCAAGTATACACCTCTGTATTACAATTAAAATTAAAATTATTGTATGTATGGACTGTAGGCCTATGTATTCGAGCACCCCAGGAATCCTTCAACGCCAGGTGCAACCGCTAGAGCCTGGAACGGGTTAACCGTGATAAACGAGGGACAACTGTATGTATATATATGAAGCTGCATGCTCTTTTGCGTGTGAAGATTTCACTATCCTGCTGCCTCTCAAGTCTCTGCTTCTGCCTGTAAGTTCCCCCTACAAACTTTGTTTAATTTTGGAGCTGTCAGCCTCTTTCTTCAGTCTGCTGGCCCTTTAGAAACAGCTCAGGAAATTTTCCCAGCATAGGGTTATGTTAAAAAGGCAGAAATGTTAAAGACAAAACAAGAGGATAGGTGGATGAATGCTAACAGTGTAACAGTAGCATTTACCTCAACAGATAATCTTATTTCTTACCTATACAGGTAAGAAAGGGACACACTAGGAAAAAAATTCAAATTCCTGTCATTCCTTATAAGATGGAACACGCTATGTTTAAAATACAAATCAATTACTTAGGTGTGAAGAGATGTAGACTAAAGATTTAGAGGTAATTTCCAGGACTTGGTTTAAATTTCTAGTGGGATAGCAACTGATCACCTTTTAAGATCCTTGACCAACAAGTTCTACTTACATGGTGTTTTAGTCCATTTGGGCTGCTAAAGCAAAAAGACCACAGACATGGTGGCTTATAAACAATGACAATTTTCTTACAGTTCTGGAGGCTGGGAAGTTGGTGATTAAGGCACTAGCAAGTTCAGTGTCTGGCGAGGGCCCGCTTCCTGGCTCACACACTGGTGATTGGTGAGTACACCTATTCATTTAGTCAAGTTCAGCTGCTTAAATTTCTGTATCATTCGGCAGTGCTCTACTTCATGGTCTTCATCAAGTGAGGTAAA